TGCTGTTTTTGACAGTGATTATGTTAAAGGAGTTAATGCCTGTTTTTTTTTTTTTGATTTTCCAATTTCCTTCATCTTTTCTTTTTTTATTTTTTCTCTTTATTCTTTTTTTGTTTCCTAAGAAGGGTAAGGCAAATATATTCCTAAGGATTTAGAAATTAGTGTCAGAGTTTTTTACTAGTCTTTTTTGCTCACTACTTCAGATTTATCACGGTTTTTTTCGTTGACTAAGCGACTGAAAAACTTGTTTAACAAAGTGTTTAAGATAAATAGCTTAGGAAGTTAACTGAGTTCGCAAAAAATAATCCTTCTTCAGACTGCTGTCTTCTTTACCCTACTTTCTTCGATGTTCACATTTAACTTAGTCGATTTGTATAATTGTTGCTGTTTTTTTTAGATTTTGCTTCATTGTACTTCATTTTTTACTTCTTTCCATCTTTTACTTTTTTTTATTTTTGTTTTTATTTTTTACTTTTTTTTCTTTTTTTTTGATTCTCTTTTCTTTTTTTGAAGTGTAAAATATTTAATTACGGGAAGCAACAGCAGTTTCTTTTGTTTTGCCTCAATCTAGGCTTAAGGCAATGTAAAGATCAATTTTTTTTTCGCTTATTTATTATTCTGCAAATTTATCAGCAACAGTGGAACTAAATCATGGAATTACGGTGACGATGCCGTGTTTGGTATAGAACCGTAACAACTGTAATTTCAGTTGAATTTTTGACTGAAATAAAGTGGTTGTAGTCGCTGTCGAAACATTTTGGTAAAAGTCAAAATGCCAACGACGGATCTACCGGGCGCCGTTGATTTTACGTCCAGCACTCGCAACAGTACGTCTGCTGACCAGAGACTGTTGGCTAAGACTTCAGCGTCACATTTCTTGTCAGTCGGCGATTTCAGCCCAAGTTCAGATTACTCAGGCAGCTGTAACCTAATTGATTTTAGCAACCAGTATAGTTGCAGAAATTGTCAAATTTTAACTGTTCAGAGGTAAAGTATAAAATACTGGTCGAGGTTACATGAAACTGTTGGCATCATCTGATTACTATTGCTGTTTTGTAAATTTGGTGCATAATGTTGATTTAAAAAGTAAAATAAAGAGTGGATTTATGTTGACAGTTGTTTGGTCTTTATTTTCAGCTACTTAATTATTTATTTCTGTGATCTAGCTGATTTTAGTTGCTAACATAAAATGTGAGGATGTTATTATTGGTAGAAAAGACTAAATGTTTGAAAACTTCAATTACAGTTAACGTCGAGAGGAGAAAACAAATGTTGATTTTGTTGAACACTTTAATTCTCTCTGTTATTTATTCTTTTTTTTTTTTTGTCTTTTCAGTGTGTATACACTGATACCAAAACGAAGAGTGATATTTACTCGGAATTAAAAGAGAAAGATAAATATTATTTGTTTTATTCGACATAAAATTATCTATCCGTACACATATCTATCTAATTAACAGTTTTTATGTAAAGTTGGGAAGTGGAGAGGAAGAAAGGTAGGGAGGGAGGCTTTTTTGTTTTCATTTTTTTCTCGTTTTAATCTGGTATACATTTTATCGGTTTTATACTGTCACTTTTTTATTCTTACTATAAACGTCTGTTGTAAATTTGGAAATTCTTTTATGTACAGTTTGTCGGTAGACTATCTCTGTGTGTATAATATATGTATGCAAAATTTACGGTAAAAATAATTTTGTTCATAGCTGACCGAAGAAATTTGATACTAACGTGGTTTAGCTTCTTAGCGGTATTCTGTGTTCAAGTATCCATCGTCGGAAATTTGTGTTGCAAAAAATATATATATATTTTTTAGCAACAAAACGAATAAAAGCAAGAAAAAAAAATGAAAACAGAAATGCCTGACTGTTTTTTTTTTATATTTTAGAAATGCAACAACTTCTCTATCAGTAGAACAAAGAATTTTTGTTGATAAATTCGTCGTATAGAATACCCACAGATACCGTCTACAGCAGAAAAAGGCAGGAAGATCGAACACTGTATTATCAACCTAAACTATATATTTTTTGCTAGGAAAGGATTAGTGCTATATTATTTACCAATTTTTTAAAACTTTATTTCATCCCTATATTTATTTTATTTATTGCATTTCTTTGGATTTTCTGTGTGAAGGAAACAAGAAGGACCAGACAGGCAGCCAGATTTATTACGTTTTTCTTGTACAGTTTTCTCGTTATATCTCTGCTGATAAAAAAAAATAAGTCAAACAGTTATTTACGTGAACTGTCTGAACAGTATTCAGTTTGGAAATATTCAACGTGAATATTGCTTAAATGGCGTTTCCAGTTTATCAGTTACTTACAATTCTATTTGTATTGAATATTATTATTATTGTAAATGCTGAACAGTTTAATCGATGGTCATCTGGAAAGTGTGAACCAATTAGGATACCACTTTGTCGGGGTTAGTGCCAACTTAATTTTGCAAGACAGAATCCAACAATCCACTTCAACACAGTCAGATGTCGATAAATAATTGTTTTTTTTTCTTTGCTTTTAAGCTATCGTTATCTATAAATAATTCAATTTTGCAACAATTATTTCAGATATTGGTTACAATATGACAAAATATCCAAATTTATTTGACCATCAAAAACAGGAAGATGCTGGTCTGGAGGTTCACCAATTTTATCCCTTAGTCAAGGTCAATATTGCTGTTACGTAATTTTTAATCTTTTTCTTCATTTTTCTTCCTCTTCTTTCCTTTAAGTGCTCATTCATAAACAATAATTTATAGTGTCTTGAACCTATTGAAAGAATATTTTTTCTCTAAATTATTTTCTGCTTTCTTTTTTTTTTGTTTACTTACTTCTCATTTTATCTCAGCTATTAAAGCAAATAAATGACAGTTTTGGGAGTAGTACTGACAACCTAAAGGCATTAATTTTGGAACATCTTTACTGTTACGAATGGAAGGTTAGAGTTATTAGATTAGTTGGAATAAACATAGCTGCAAAAGAAAATGATGCTATTTTGTTTGCTTATTATTTTTTTTATTTTCTATATTTTAGGTAGACTGCTATAAACATTTACGATTTTTTTTATGTACACTTTATGTACCAATTTGTCAAGAAAATTACGATAAATGGATAAAACCGTGTAGAGAGGTAACCATCAATAATGCTTTTTTTTCTCATTTCTTCTATTTTTTTTTTCACAGAAACCATAATTTACGGCAAAAAGGTGAAGAATTCTTTTTTTTTCTTTTTCGGAAAAATTATTCTGTTTCCCGCATTTTTTTCTTATCGTTCTAAGAGGAAATTTTGGGCAAGCAAATTTGGATACATGTTCAAAGAGATAGTACTTGTTTATTTTTAACATACAATTTATTAGGTTTGTTTGGCTGCAAAAAAAGGCTGTGAACCATTGATGATACAGTATTCGTTTGAGTGGCCAAAAAATCTGGAATGTGATGATCTGCCAAAAATGAGTGAACAACAAGAGACTGGAAACGTTTGTGCTGCACCGCCAGATACACCAGATCCCAGTACCTTAGACGATGTAAGATGATAAGTCAATTTTCAGTGTTGAATAGAGAAAAGATTTTATTAATTTTTTGTAGGCTTATAGTGATTTTACTTTATTTACTTTTACAGTTTTTCTTCTGATTTTATAAGTTAAAGTAAGACAAAATTGGTTAGTGAAAAGCGGATAGCGATAGAAAATTTTTCAGCACCTAAAAAATGACAAGCAAATTATAATAAAGCGCTCATTTTCAAGTGCTTATAAGTTCAATTCAACTTTTGTTATTTTTGCTGTACATAGAAGGTTTACCAAGGAAAACTAAACTTTTACAGCAGTACTATCCTTAACCAAAAATTTCTGTTATTTTATTGTATACTGACACTTGAAGAGATCATTAATGGTTTATATAATCCCATCTGTAAACAGTTTTTTTTTTTGCTATTTTTTTTTCTACTATTTATCCAACGATCAACACTCTGTTTTGCCAATTGTTCAGTTCAGCAAAACCAATTCATTGAGCATAAGACAAATAAACAGAAATTTTTTTTCAAGCGAGCAAAGAAAAGAAAATTTCTTGATTTTTCTTTACTTCTCTTCATTTTGTAGTTTAAGAGACAGTCAGTTTCAAGAAGTTACATGGCATATGCAGTTCAGTGTTGTTACTGCTGACAACAACAGTTCTATGTTCAGACTGCATAGAGCCGATGCAAAATGATTGATTGTGCTGATACTGTAGCGCAGAATTTTCTATCGTATAATGATAGCTATAGAGGGCGTTGTGCATGTATCCGCCTATACTTTTAAATGGTTTTTGAAACAAACTAATAGGCATTTATCATAAGATAAATGCGTCGTATAAGTGAAGGAGGGGGGAATGAAAAAAAAAAAAAGTTGCATTCCACAGTCATACGGGGTGACCAATTTGGATTATTCAAAGTTTAAAATTAAAGGACATCTCTAAGTTTCTTGTTTAGGAAAGAAGATATCCATTGTTTAATTTGGGAAATACTCAATGCAGTTGTCAGTGTGTTCATCCGTTTCATACAGTCTCCGACAGGGCTTCATCTGTTGCAAATGTGTCCGGTTGTGCATATCCATGTTATACACTAACAGATGATGTTCATAACAAAAATTTTATTACTGCATGGATTGCAGTCTGGTAATAATAACTACAATAAATTAAATTTTATTGCTTTTTTAGTAGCAATAATAATGTTAAAAACAATAATAAATTTCAATAATCAAATTAAATTTCAATAATAAGGAGCACATCATTTTTAGGGTCTTCTTTTTTTCAGGGCTGGAACATGTTTTGTATTATCGGCATTTTCAATTGTCACATTTCTGATTGAACCTGAAAGATTCCAATACCCAGAGAGACCAATCTTCTTATTAGCATTTTGTCAGATGATGGTCTCTGTGGGATTTATCATCCGTGTTTTCTACGGCCATGAGAATGTTGCCTGTGATTCAAATACGATACGCTCCAATGATTATCAAATTAACTCTTGCCAAATTGTGAGTCAATATTATAACCATAATACGTCTGAAGTTTACCACTCTTATATTAGTAAAAATCAGGGGTATATTTTAAAAGAAAATTATTTCATTTTATGCTGATTGAAAACTACTTTTTTTGAGGTATTCTTCCTAGTTTACTATTTTGGAATGGCTGGATCGGTTTGGTGGGTAGTTCTGTCATTAACTTGGGTGTTGGCTGCAGCAAGTAAATGGTCCAGTGAAGCAATTGCTAGTTATGCACATTATTTTCATATCATTGCCTGGACATTACCAGCTTTACAAATTTTTGCTGTATTTATTTTTGGCGCAGTTGATGGCGATCCAATAAGTGGGATATGTTATGTTGGTAATACCAATGTTACGCATTTGATGTGGTTTGTATTTGGTGAGTGCTTCTTCTGTTCTTTTTTTTTCGGTGAGATGGTTGAAGCAACAGTTTCTGGAAATGCATTAACGAATTTTTTCTAAAGTATAGGAAACAAGCAATCTGTTCAAAATTAGTAAGAAACAGTAATGGAACATCTATTTCAGTTCCATTACTGGTGTACTTTGTTGCTGGTGTCGGATTTTTGGGAGTAGGTTTTGTGCATCTTTGGAGAATTCGTTCAATAATGCAGCGACGTCATCAGGGAATTGATAATACCTCAAAAATGACCCAGTTGATGTCCAAAATTGGAATCTTTTCTGTTCTTTATATCGTGCCAGCATTTTTTGTACTTATGGTTCTGTTGTACGAACGGCACTATCGACCACTGTGGGAAAAATCTCGTCTCTGTAACTGCGCTGAACAGTTGGATTTGGAAAGTATGTTTGGTCAATTAATGATACGATTGATGCTTAAGTTTATATGAGCAAATATGTGATAGAACAAAAGTGGGGCAAGGGAAGGATATACACGTTGTTTTTTGAGAGTTGTAATTATCGCTTACTGATCAGTTAATGATTTAATTGCTGACTGCAGCGAACAATACATGGAATCTTCTTGTTCTTATCAAAACAGCATCAATGTTAATTGTTGGATGGACATCTGGTGTATGGATTATATCAGCTAAAACTGTTCAAGTGCGTCAAGTTTTTTTTTTTCGCTTTAACAGACTTTAGTTCTTTCTTTGCTTTCCTACCACAGTATCAGCGAAGCAACTCTTGTAAGAAATGGCAAAGGAAAAAAGTGACTTTATCTTTGACAATCGCCGATGTTATGCTGTTTTTTTTTTCTAGTCAATTAGTAAAAAAACTAAAGAGAAAACTATTTAATTTTAGAGTTGGAAACGAGCCTTATGCTGTTTCAATGGACGACAAGCAGGTAACAAATATCAACCGGCTGAGATGATCTATGCGCCAAGCGATTCTAATACACTGCAGGTGTATAATACAAAGGCTTTGCGGCATTGTAGGCCTTACAATAACAGTCCATTATTGCCGGAAAAATGACATTCTCTGAACAGTGTTGATCTCAAGTGAACAAAAAAGATAAAAAATGAAAAATAAAAAATAAAATAAAAAAATCAAAGCGAAATTTAGAAAGGGATTGAAAAGTAAGGAAAAACGGTGAACAGGGAAAAGAAAGAAAAAAATTGAAGAGAAAATAAAATTGAGCAAAAAAAAAGAAATGTATAATTAAAATTATTTATTACTTTTCTGGGTTTTTTTTGTTTATGCAATTACATTTGACATTTGTTTATAGGGGAAAGTTCTACTTAACAATAAACAATGGTAATTAGCAGTAGTTTGTTAAGGTGAAGGTGTAAAATAATGGAAAGATGAGAAGTGAAATGAAAGAATAGATAAAAAAAAAGGTTTTTTTTTTTTTTTTGATTTATTGTTTTCTGCTGTTAATCGCATTCGAAAAGGTGGAAAATCCATGTGACAGAATAATGGTGCGAAAAAAAAAATTGATTTGAATTGAGTAGAGAGAACAATTGATCAGTTGATTAACGTTATTGGGGTGGTAGTCAACCTAAATAAACTGATACGATTGCCATTGTTTATATTTGACAATATTACTAATTAACCATTATTATTGCTATTGTTACTACTTTTTTATTATTTGTATTATTAATATGTACAGTTTATGTGATACATAATATTTTTACTTTCATTACTTAATTTTTGCACTTGATTTAGATGTTTAAAAGACAAACAAAAAAGAAAAAAAAAACGAAAGGAAAACAGGCACTTGTTGCCAAATGTTGTATGAAATTCAGATTGATTGTATGCCTAAATGAATGTAGAATTAATGTTATAATCTGTTTAACGTAGTATAGTTTTACGACAATTTTGATGAGCTTTTTTTTTTGTTTGTGGTTTGAAAGTGTTGTAGTAAGTAAAGGAAGGGAGGGACGGGATATGGGAACATAAATAATGTAACTTTAACTTGTATTCTTTTTTACTTTGCTTTGCTTTGCATTTAGTATTTGGTTTCATGATCAGGATCTCGCCAAATTCTGTTCTTTTTGAAGCATTTTTTTTTTCCATTCCCAAAAAGTTGGTAATGAGGCGGGAGGGGGGACTGGAAATATGATGTTCAGTAAGCAACAGTTCATTGTGGTACTGTATATCATCCGAAGCATTTTTCTATGCATTTTTATTTATGCTTTTACATATGACTGAACGTAATTGTTTCTTTTTTCTTTTTTTTTTTTGGCTTTTTAACTGTTTAAGTTTTCATATCACAGACGGGTCTCAAAAGCAATTTTTTTCTTTCATTTTATATTTTTATTGCTTATTTGTTATATTTTTCTTTTCCTATTCGATTTTGTATTTGTTTTTATGGCAGTTTTACAGGGAATCGAAAAGAAACAAAAATGTAATTTTTCCCCCTCTTTTTACTGTGAAAAGTTGTATTGTGTTTTTTCTTCTGACGTCTTAAACTGTCAAAGTATCCAGTCGATTGTTCTGTTGTTAAAGCGATAAATGTTATCGAAGTTTGTCAGAGCAGCACTCTGAAAAAGCAAATCAAAAAAATGATAGTAAATATGCGTTTGTCATCGTCACTGTGATATACAAAAACTAAATTGCAATTTCTCTTGTGGAATCCTTGTAAGAAAAGAAAAAGTTGTTCAAACGGGACAGAAAGGTGGCCTTTCCAGTAGGTTTTTTTACGGATTAACTGTTTCAATTATCATTCGTTCTCTTTTTTTTTTT